AGATTGGCGGAAGTCGTCGGCCTTGAGAGTGGCCTTCAGTGCGGTGAAGAGAGTGGCGTTGAGTCGCAACTCAATCGGCATTCCGTTGGCGTTCGGCAATCGGATTCTCGTGTCTATCGGTTGGACGGCAAACGCGGCGTCGATTTGCAGACGTTGTCGCAGTTGTCGCACGAAATCCTGCCAATCGTCGGCCGAAGACTTAATGTCCGACAAATCCGTTGACAACAAAGTCTTTCCGTCGACTTTCAAATGCAGCGCCAGTTCGACGTCACGTGACATGGAGTGCGCCCATTGGTTGGCGGAGAGGAGGAAGTCGAGCGCCTCCTTCGCCATCTGGTGCGCGACCGACGAGTCGGAAGCGCGCGAACGGAATTCGCGAATCTTCTGCTCGAAGGCCGCGTCGAAGCCCTTCTGCCGGATCTCCACTTCCAAGAGCTGGAGTTCGCGACCGAAAGCGGGAAGCGTTAGGTTTGCGGTGAAAGAGCGCGGAATCGAAGAGTCCTTCGCGTGAATGACGTCCGCCTCGACGGCAACGCCCACTCCGAGGGCGTCCAATAGGAAGGAGGACTCGAAGTTCTGCGAAACGCCGAACCACTGGTCGCGCGGGTTCTCGAAAGAGGGCGCGTCGAAGGGAATGGCGTTCTTTTTGTGCGGATCTGAAGTGGATTTGAGATTCTTTTGATGACTTCTCACGTATTGCTGAATATCGCGATTGTCTTCCGATTGGACGACTTCTCGGATTCGCTGCAATTGTTTGCGCGAAACGCCGGACATTGCGATCGCTTTGTAGGCTTGGATTCGCAGTTCATTCGCGAGACTCTTCTTCGCGAACAACTCTTCCAACAACTGATCTCTTCGGCGGTCGTCCAGGGCTTCCGTCACGGCCTTAATGGCGGCCACTCTGACCACAGTCTTCGCCGAAGAGTCCAAAGAGAGTTTCATCAGCAGTTCCCAGGCCTTCGACGACATGTCGGCGCCGATGTTCTCAATGGCCTTAACGGTGGACACGATCTCCGACTCCTTCTTCTGGCTCTGAGCGCGCGAAACGAGTGCTTCCAACGCCGTCTCCACCAAAGACTTCTTCTCCGCGGAGGAGATGTCTCGCGAATGGCGCGCGTTGTGGACGAGACCGGAAATGCCGAGAATCACGTGTTTATGGACTTCCGGTTTGCGGAGAATTGGAATAAGTTTTTCGATGGCTTTTGGGTTCGGATTCGAAGTGAAGGCCAATAAAGAGAACAAAACCTGAGATCTCTTTGAACCCAAAGTCTTGTCTTCGAAGGCCTTCAGAAGCACTTCCGTCGACGCCTCGGAAGCGGCCAAAGCGGACGCGTCGAGGAAGAGGTCCCACAACTGCGCAGACGCGGAACACAACTCTCCCGATTGGACGGCGCGCGCCACGGAGTGCACGACCTGTTTGTCGGTCACGTGAGTCAAAGCGGACACCAATTCGGGAAACGATTGGACGACAGAAAGAGCGCTCTTCGCCTTCTGCTCGCTCTTCAGTTGCGCGCAGTTCGGGAGCGGACGACAGACGCGCCACCACTTCCACGGCCTTCGTCTGAGTCTTTGCGGCGAACGCGACGCCGGCCTCCACTTGAAGGGCGAAAGAGGGCGACACTTGAGTCTCGAACTGAGCCGAGGATTGGCGGAAGTCGTCGGCCTTGAGAGTGGCCTTCAGAGCGGCGAAGAGAGTGGCGTTGAGTCGCAACTCAATCGGCATTCCGTTGGCGTTCGGCAATCGGATTCTCGTGTCTACCGGTTGGACGGCAAACGCGGCGTCGATTTGCAGGCGTTGTCGCAGTTGTCGCACGAAATCCTGCCAATCGTCGGCCGAAGACTTAATGTCCGACAAATCCGTTGACAACAAAGTCTTTCCGTCGACTTTCAAATGGATCGCCAGTTCGACGTCACGGGACATGGAGTGCGCCCATTGGTTGGCGGAGAGGAGGAAGTCGAGCGCCTCCTTCGCCATCTGGTGCGCGACCGAGGCGTCGGCAGCGCGCGAACGGAATTCGCGGATCTTCTGCTCGAAGGCCGCGTCGAAGCCCTTCTGCCGGATCTCCACTTCCAAGAGCTGGAGTTCGCGACCGAAAGCGGGAAGCGTTAGGTTTGCGGTGAAAGAGCGCGGAATCGAAGAGTCCTTCGCGTGAATGACGTCAGCCTCGACGGCAACGCCCACTCCCAGGGCGTCCAATAGGAAGGAGGACTCGAAGTTCTGCGAAACGCCGAACCACTGGTCGCGCGGGTTCTCGAAAGAGGGCGCGTCGGAGGGAATGGCGTTCTTTTTGTGCGGATCTGAAGTGGATTTGAGATTCTTTTGATGACTTCTCACGTATTGTTGAATATCGCGATTGTCTTCCGATTGGACGACATCTCGGATTCGCTGCAATTGTTTGCGCGAAACGCCGGACATTGCGATCGCTTTGTAGGCTTGGATTCGCAGTTCATTCGCGACACTCTTCTTCGCGAACAACTCTTCCAACAACTGCTCTCTTCGGCGGTCGTCCAGGGCTTCCGTCACGGCCTTAATGGCGGCCACTCTGACCACAGTCTTCGCCGAAGAGTCCAAAGCGAGTTTCATCAGCAGTTCCGAGGCCTTCGACGACATATCGGCGCCGATGTTCTCAATGGCCTTAACGGTGGACACGATCTCCGACTCCTTCTTCTGGCTCTGAGCGCGCGAAACGAGCGCTTCCAACGCCTTCTCCGCCAAAGACTTCTTCTCCGCGGAGGAGATGTCTCGCGAGTATCGGGCGTTGTGGACGAGACCGGAAATGCCGAGAATCACGTGTTTATGGACTTCCGGTTTGCGGAGAATTGGAATCAGTTTTTCGATGGCTTTTGGGTTCGGATTCGAAGTGAAGGCCAATAAAGAGAACAAAACCTGAGATCTCTTTGAACCCAAAGTCTTGTCTTCGTATGCCTTCAGAAGCACTTCCGTCGACGCCTCGGAAGCGGCCAAAGCGGACGCGTCGAGGAAGAGGTCCCACAACTGCGCAGACGCGGAGCACAACTCTCCCGACTGCACGGCGCGCGCCACGGAGTGCACGACCTGTTTGTCGGTCACGTGAGTCAAAGCGGACACCAATTCGGGAAACGATTGGACGACAGAAAGAGCGCTCTTCGCCTTCTGCTCGCTCTTCAGTTGCGCGCAAATCACGCGCGAGAGCTCCTGGAGGTCGGCCTCGGAGGTGGGCTTGTTTTGGGAGCCGAAGCTTGAAGACATGCGCAGATGGTTGTCGTGTTGACGGAAGCGCTGAATTCGCGAAACGGAAACGCCTTTCGATTGGCTCTCGAGGCGGAGGTTGAGAAGCGATTGGAGCGAAACGCGAGACAACACCAGTTGTTGGCTCTCCTGACACGTGACTCCCGAGATGACGTCATCGGCAACAGTCATCTGACACGTGAGCGACGCGTTGGTCAGCGGCAGTGACGTCACGTCGGAGTAGTATTGGCGCGGAAAGAGCGCCGTCAGGAAGGACTGGCGTTCGCCGCCTGAAGTGAAGGAAAAGGCGTTGAAATATAGGTTCAAAAAAAGGCAAACTTTTCTCACATTTGTCGAGACTTTTGGTCTTTTGAATCGTAAACGAGTTATACTTCGAGAGAAGCGGCGAATAATATGTTTCGCATTCACCCGAAATGTCGCGCTCCACGACCACTGAGGGCGCCGTCAGCGAGCGCGCCGACATCTGGAGGGCCGACACGACGGCCTTCTTGACGTCGAGCGCCCACTCGGGGTCCGCGTGCGACGCGCAGACGCTCTGAACGCGTCCCGAGTCGTACGCGAACTGAAGCGCCTCCGACTCGAGCTCGAGCTTCAGGGCGCGAGCGGCCTCCGCCTCCACTCCCGTGATGCGCGCGTCCGAAATGCGGAGCGCGAGGTCGCACGGGGAGAGCGCCGACACGTCGACGGCGGCGTCAATGAGGAGTTGTTGACTGTTGTCATTGGAGACGGAAATCGCGGTCGAAGACTGAAGTCTATAGCGATACGTGTTTCCGACGGAGAAGCGCACGAACGCCTGCTCTGCACTGCATTGGCGCGCACAGCCGTTGCTCTGCCATTGCACGGCCTGTTGCTCGTGAAGGGGAACTGGAGGTTTGGGAGGAAAGGCGTGAGAAGTGGCGAAAAGTGGCGAAAATTGTTTCGAAAAATACCTGAAATCGCGAGCGAAGCGAACGAAAGGAAAATAACGAGAGTTTTGATGAGAGGCTCCATAATTGACACGAGATTATGGACTCCAAACTCAGAATGATTTGAAATTTCGAATCCAAACGCTTTTATACGTGAAAAGAGTCCAAAAGTCACGCGAAATGTAAGCGAAAAGCGATAATAGATATCAAGAGATAAGAGATTTCTCGAGTTTTTGAATAAATCTTTCATTCATTTCATCAAAACTTTTGCGTTTTCAGCGTTTTCTTCGCAAAAAGAAACCCTTTTTTGAGCGAAAGCTGCGATAAAAACATGAATTCTTTGCAAAACTTTTCGCCAAATCTCACAATTCGTCAACTTTTTCGTCAAGTCATCAAACTTTGCGTTTATTTCGAGTGTTTCTAAAACAAACTCCGGTTTATCTCCAGTTCCCCCAAAAGACCTCCCGTTCCCCTCTGTTACTAGGCTGAGCGCGCGAGCACGTGATCGGTCGCACGCGCGCACGCCCGACGCGCGTGACTGGCGGTCAGTCTCTGAGGTCAACGCCCTTTGAGAGGCGTTTGGGAAATGAGGTCAAAGACCGGCCTTTTGGCGAAAATCGATACGAAGTGCGCGAAAGAGCGACTCTGCGCGCGATTCTCGCCTTAATTGCGATAAATAGTGAATATTTGAGTGAAATCTGAGTTTATTTCTCGCGATAACAATAAACATAAACACATTTTTGTCACTTTTTGTAAACACATTGAAAGCAATGAAAGCTTTTTGCAAAACATTTCTCTTAATTAGCGATGAATTCAATGAACGCTTCGATGACTTCACAAAAACGCAAAATAAAAGGGTTTCCATAGAAAGCGCGAGAATCACAACAAATGCACACAATTTTGAATAATTGTCGCCTTTTTTGGGTCGCGAGAAAACAATTGCAAAAACGGTCCCAAGAAATGCACAAAATCTCTCCCAAAGCGTGCGTGAAATCCAAGAAAGTCCACTTCGACTCCGCGCGCGTCGCCTTCCAGGTATTGTTTCGCGCACACAATGACCGCAATAACCGCTCCCTTTCCCGACGTCCCGCTCCCGCCCCGCCCACAGGTCGAGTACGACGTGCCGGACGACCATTCGCTGCGCCATAAGATCCCGCTTTGGACCGAACACTGGAAGCGCTCCAAATCCTCGCTTCTGCTCCACTTCTTGAGACAACTCTCGTGCCAACAGTGGGTCCGCGCCCTCATCGCGCTCACGGCCCTAACGGCGCTCTCCATCCAACTCTTCCACACTCTCGACGCCTACTCAAAGCGCGAGACTCTACTGCACGCCGACACGCGACCCCTTCTGTCGCACTTCGTGTCGCCCGCGGTGTCGCTCTGTCTCCCGATTGTCGTCCCTTTCGTCCACAAGTGTGTCACCAATAATAACGACACCGACTGTCAGAACGTGCAGACAATCCGTCGACTCTTCAACCAATCGCTGTCTCCGTTCAGCCATCGCTGCAAACACGTCATTGACGGCGACTTCCGCTCTCTTCGCGCGTGTCCTCCGCCGCGGCAATGGATTCGCGAGAACCGCAAGTGTTTCACGTATTTCGCGCAACACTCGCCTCCCTTTCCGCCCACTCTGCACCTCCTTCTGCAGTACTCGTCGCCACCCGACCCCCAGAGCCCGCCGCCCGACATTCACGTGCATTCGGCGCACACGACGCCCGACGTCGCGGACAGCGAGTGGACAGCCGTTCGTCAGAATCGGAAACTCGAACTCAAATACTTCGCGACACAAATCCATTTCCTCGACGACTGCGACGAATACGACGACGAGAGGGCGCCTCCCAACCCCCTCTCGTCGTCCACCCAACCCCCGCCCCCCGCCTCCCGCGCCGACTGCCACGAGCGCTGTCTGTTGGCGGCGATGCGCGAGCACTGCCCGACGACAGCGACTACAGGAGAGGCGACAGACGGTCGAGCGTCGCACTGTTTGTCGCGTTTGGCGACCGTTAGGGCGGAACTCCTCTCTTCGGACGACAAGTTTTGCACAATTGGCGACCAAAACGAGTGCAACGGAAGAGCCTTTTTCGCGCGCCTTTCCAACAGATGTCTCGCCGACTGTCCGCCCGATTGTTTGCGACAAACGTTTCATTTGACGACAAGAGAAGAGATGACGTCAGACGCGACGGAAACCAACGTAACGGTGGTGAGGCGCCGGGTGCCCGACCTGCGGCTCGTGGAGGTGCGCCGAACCACGTGTCTCGAGCTGATGGCACGAGTGGGCGGTTTGTGCGCCTTTTGGGCGGTTTTCGCGTGGATTTTGTCGCGATTTCTGGCTTTTATGCAGATTTTCGTCGAATTATTTGACATTTATTTACAAAAACTTTAGACTTTTTCAAGCGATAGAAAAATCGGTACAAAATTGAGCCCAAAATCGAGTAAAAAACGAATAAATTATAAATAAAACTAAGATTTGAACTGAAAATGAGGCAAAACGGCGACAATGCGTCGCGAGAGCGGAGACGACACGTCCAACGACTGCAACACCGTTTGCCACTTCCGGTCCGACGACTCCTCCACATCCGGCTCGCGTTTCGGCGCCCGCGGCAACAAACGCCGCCTCTTGGCCGCCGACTCGCCGTCCACTGCGTCTGCGCGCCATTCCGTGGGAAAGTCCATAACCGCGCGTTTCGTCCGAATCCCCGCATAGACTGCGCGCGAGATCTCATTTCGCGGGTATTTTGCGTTCAAATACGCGATCGGTTTTCGCGCCAATTCTCGCGCGCCAATCAGGTTCAGCGCCGACACGTATTCGCGCACTTCGATGCGCGCGTGATTCACGATCTCCCTGTCCACCCGCCCCCTCCACTCGCCCCCTCCCGACGCCTCCTCCGAACTCCGCTTTTCCCGTTTTTCGCTCCGCTTTTTGGACACCAAATGCGAGACAAAGTCTTTCACGAATTCCTCGAATTCCGAATCGATTTTCGGCTGAAAAGCGAAACCAAAGTCTTGTAAAAAGCTTTCCTTTCCTTCACTTACAGTCTCTTCGCTTTTCGTCTCCTTATTCTCCGCATTCTCTTCCTTTTCCTTATTCTCACTGATTATCACATTATCCTCCCTGTCCTTCCCCTCCACGGCCTCCTTCCCCTCCCTGTCCACTCTTTCCTCCCTGTCCTCCACTTCCCTCTCTTTCGCCTCTTTTTCCTCCTTTTCCTCCATTTTCTCGTTTTCCTCGCAAACAATGCGAAGACTTCTCTCGGAATGCGAAGAGTCCTGAGATTCGCAGTCACGTGACTCAATGACAACGCAGTCGTCGTCTTCCGGTTCCCAAACTTTCTTCAGATTTAACGGCATTTCCGTCACGAATGACGTCATCGCAGGCGTCGGCCGTCTGTCGCGCGACCACTCGTTCATCACTCGATTGTTGTTGACGTCAAACGCGTCGTCCAATCGGCGCTTCGTTGCGTTCACCGCCTTCTCCACCAATGAGAGCTCTGCGGCCAAAGGACGCGCCAATCGCCGCATAGGGGGCGGGGCGACGGCCAGTGGCGCCATTGCTGTCAGAACAGGCGAAATGATGGCGTTTTGCGGCGGTAAACACGCTCTCCTTCGCTGCGAATCCAGCATTTGGCGCGCAGTCGCGGGAATGCCGGGAAAGACCGCCATTTCGGGAATATTCGTGTCTTTTCTCTGGATATTCTTGTATTGAGTGGTCTTTTGCTGCAAAACACGCGACAAAAGCGAGGATTGCGTCGATTCGGCGCTTCTTTCCATTTGTGACCACTTTTTCTGGCATTCCTTCGAAAGAGAGTCAGAATTCGCGGAAAACCCCGAAAAACACTTACTTTTGGGTCCAAAACAAGGCTTTGAATTACGGCTTGAGAAGAGGCGCGCGATTCCGTCGGCGACCGCAAAACAGACGCTCTCATTGGTTGAGGCAATGACGTCACGAACGGCGCGATGCGGACCACCGACTGGCGGGGCGTGGCGTTGGCCACCGTCACGTGACTGACGGCCACGTGATTGGAGTGCGAGAGCGAGGAGAAGCGTTGCGCGCTCTGCGCCGTCAGCGAAGTCATTGTTGTCGTCACCGAAAGCGCGCGATTCAGACGAATGTCCGACGAGTGGCTGAAAGGCGGAGTCAGAGTCGCCGCGTGCTGTGATTGGCGGAGGGGTTGAGGGCGGGGCTGCGGAGGTGAAGTCATGTGCAGCGAGTGCGGTGACGTCATGAGCGGACGCTGGGGCGGGCGTTGAGTCACGTGACGGACGGTTTGGACGGTTGAGGGCATGAGAAGCGGTCGCGAGACGAGCGGCGGACCGGAAGTCGGAACGAAGAGCTGTTGTCTTCCGCCGGAAGTCGTCGTCAGTTGTGGTCTCGGAAGTGGAGCCAAAGGCTGAAGTCGTCGCTGAGCGTTGGGATCGACGAACTGGCGCTGAGGCGGACGTTGAGTCGCCATCCGGTGAGTGTTGACGAGTTGGCGCTCTTGTCCTCCCAAAGCGTACGGACTGAGACTCTGAACGGTGCGAGTCTGGAGCGCCCTCTGCTGCTCACGACTCCCTTCCGGCGGCCAATACGTCACTCCCCTCTCGAGTCCCCTCTCGATGAGCATCTGCTGCTGTTTCGCGAGCAGCAGTGGCGCCGCCAACCGCTGGAAGGGATAGTTCGCGGACTCTGTGGCCTCGACGACGAGCGCGTGGTATTCCTTCTGCTTTTGCGGCAAACTCTGCAAATAGTGGTCGTAATTATGAGTCACGCTTTGCAGCGCACGCGCGCACGGGTGGCCCCCATGGGAGGGCGCGTACGACACGGCGCCCGAGACGGGAGGCGGCGGCGGACTTATCGGCTCAATGAGAGGCCGCAGAGCGCGCGACGAGTCCTGAAAAGAGACGAAAGGTTTGAGTTTTCGGCCAAAAGGTGGCGACACTTGTGTGGAGAGGAACAGGAGGTCTGCAGAGGGTTTGGGGCGACAAAACTCACTCCGTTTTGGACGCAATTAAAGGACATCTCTGGACGGCGGCGAAGACGGCATTCTTCGGGAACCGATGTCTGGATTTGTGTCGAGTTTTGGACGCGTTTTGCGATCGACTGAACGACTCGTCACTCTATGAGAGAGAAAAACATTGAAAACATTGGAAACGCATTGAAAGTACAGTTATTATAAGTGCTATTCGTTTCCATGACTACCACTACATGTACTGTACTCTCGTTATCATATCGTTGCGTAACATTAGTGGCCAGCGTTTGGGCCCTTTTGTCACCGCAGTCACTGTTTATAGCAATGGCAGCGCTTGTGACAAAAGGGCCCGATTTGCGGCGCAGGTTTGCAGCGTTTGGGGGAAGGTATGCGAGAACTCCCCCAAAGAGACGACAATTAGTTTTTGGTATAAATTATTGATTTTTTTTTTACTTTAATTGCATTTTCTGTTACAGTAAACAAACTCTCGGCTCTCCTCTAATGAGAAATAAAATGCAAAAACAATTTTTCATACCTTTTGAGCGAAAATGATATTTATTTTGTTGTTTTCTTTCGACAAATATTTCGTTAGAAAATT